CGGGAGCCCCGGCTCCGGGCGGGCACTAACGCGCTTCATTTAAACGCCTCGTAGAGCGACTGGAGCGGAGTGAAGGGAAACGGCGCTTCGGGATCAAGCGGAAAGATGTCCCGGGACGGTGAGGAAGGTGGTTCAACGGCCTAGACCTGCGGGAGGAGCCGCCTCCGCTTCGGCCGCGCTGTGGCTCTGGGGTACGGCGCTGGGGCGCGTTGGGGCTGCCGGGTGTTGCGGGGACCGGGAGCGCCGTCCCGCGCGGGAGCCTCGGGGCTGCTTGCGAGTGAGCGTCGCCCTTCGCTGGGAGAGAACTCGTCCCCGTGGGAATCTTTGTCAGATGAGAGGAGTTAGGGCATGCACCTTACCTTCTGGTTTCTCAGGATTTTCCTGATTGCTTGAGCTCGTAAATGTGTGTTGGTAGCAAGATTCCCTGAGGACACTGCCTCAGAGCTGCAAGGGAGTCAATTGCAGGTAAAACAGCCGCTCCTTTTGGTTGCTCTCTGTTTCCTTAAGCCTGATGCGAGGCTGGCAGTGGGACTCCTGAAGTAGCTCCTGAAAAGTGCTGCGTACAGCTTTACGTTAAAGGAAAGTAGTATTGATTTGAGGTTATTTTAATGTTTGGGATTGTAAAACTGTAGTAGTGCGGAAACTGTTAGGTGCACTTAGCTCAGTCCTGTTGGAGAAGGGCCAACAGGGTTGGAGTCAAAAGGCAAACAGTTGTTTCAGCGAGAAGTTTCATTAAAATTTGTGCATAATTTCATAAGCTGTATACAGTTTTACTTAATGTCTCATTGCATGGACGCTGTGGTGTTTTCATGATTTTGTAACCATTTTATCTCTGGTTTAGTGTGGTACATATGAATTGGAAATGCATGTGTTTAGATTTCTAGTAAACTGTTTCCCAAATATGTAGTGCAAGGTAAACTGTGGTTTTTTTTTGTTTCAGTAGGAGAAAGCATATTTTCAAAGCCTTCTCCTTTAAAAGAACTTAATTGACTTTGTTCAGGGGTGTGCGTGCCTATATTGTAAAGCTTTTAATGCTAATTGGAAGTCAAACATTTTATCTTGCAGAGTGGGGCTTCCTAAATGTCTCCATTAAAACAAGCTTTGCAAGTGGAAATACATTCATTTCAAAAGGTTCTAGTGGTTTGCATATGTCTTGCGATCAAGTAATGAAAATCTTGCTGTAGTTCTTCCCTAAAAGATGCATATGGTAAAAATCAAAAGCTTATAAACCCATTGTTGTACTTGGACGCTAAAGGACGTTTTTGTTTTGACACCAAACCCCGAGTCTTTTTTAAAGCCCTTTCAGTTGATGAGTTACTTAGGCTAAATTTACACTTTGATTAAAGTGATCTTGCCTACAGCTGTTTTAAGCTAGCATGTGAAAAGCAGAAATTAAGTTGTAGTCAAATGTTTGTGTAATCAGTTGTTTAAATTATTTTAAAAGAACAGAAAATGAGAATTGGATTTAAAACATTACTTCATGATTATCCTGATGATATGTGTATGAAATACTGTAATACAGCACGAATTTAGAGTTTGAAGTCCATCGGGCAAATCAGCTGTAGAATTCTATTTTCAAGAGTGAATGATGATCATCATAAAAGAATCATTATTTGGATATTTTATTTAGAAATTTCTAGGTTTGGTCAGCTGTATTGTTTTGCTTTTTTTCTTTTTGTAGTTAGCTTTGTCTTTAAATTTTGAACTTTGTACTCGTAGCTCTTTTCTGTATTTCAGATGCTAAGAATGTACAAAACCTAGTTACCCAAATTGTCGTTTGAAGGAAAGGAAAAAAAAAAAGTTTATGTACCTGGCAGAATGGACCTCTCTAGTGTGCACAGTGCAATCTGGAAATATTCAGATTTCCAGCTCTACAAACTACCTGTTTGTAAACTTGTGAGATGTTAAGCCTCAACATCATAATGGCTTTGTGCTTGTCTCCCCTTTCCCCCTTTTAAATTGTAAATAATCCGTACAGCCACTTCTAGGAGTCATCAGACTGTGGATTCATGGGCTTAATTATCAGAAATATAGGCACAATTTGTATGGGATGTTGAGAAGTACAGAGATCGAGGGAAGGAAGATGAAATAAAGGAACTTGTGTTGTAATGTATGTTTGTTTTTATAAATCTAGTAGAATTAAGAGTACTTTTATCAGTACGGATATATCAAAACCAAAAGCAACTGATGTGCGGGGTTTAATTTGTTTTAGCTGTTGTTCATCTATTCATGTCTGTACAACTTCTAAGTACAGCTGCTCATGCTGCCTTATTTCTTACGCCTTATTAAGTATGACTTAGTTTTTCAGTCTCCTTTTACTCGATATGTGTCCATTTAACCTTCTTCCCCCACCATTCTTTCTAGTTATTGTTTTTAAATGCACAGACTAGACTTTTCATTGTGTAGTGGAAGTTTTCTTAGATTGTTGTGTGCTCCTGTTATCAATGAAGGCTTGATTAAACCCATGATTTTACCTGTGCAGACTGTGTGCTATTAGTGATTGACTTGGTAAACAATGTACAAATTAATGAAACAGTTCACGGAGCTCTTTTGACATGACAAGAGTCAGCTATGTAAAAAGTTGCTTTACTGGCAGGAACTTTTTAAAACAAACCCAAACCAACAACTTAAAGCAGTGGAAGATACAGATACTTCAGCGATCTTTTTCAGTAAAGTAGTTCTCAAAACAAAGACAACCAAAGGAGCAGGAAAATGTTTTCTGGACACTAAAACAACAGTTGTACTGGGTCAGCCTGCATGCCTGTTTAGCCTAGCATCTTGTCTTAGGAGCAGACACTAGTTTATGCATAGGAAAAAGCATTAAAAACAGTAGCCTCTGTTAGGAAGTTGCTGCTCATTGGTGGAAAAAATACTTGTTTGTAGTGTGTTTAATCAGATTAAAATTCTGAATATCTTTTTGCAGAGAATCAGAATGACTAAAAAAAGGAAACATCAAGAAGATTTCCAGAAAGTGAAATTAAAAGTTGGGAAAAAAAAACCTAGACTAGAGAATGCAACTGATACTACCTTCAAAACAAAGGCCATACAAATTCCTGAGCAGCTTAAAGAAGATGGAGTGCTTCCTACGCAAAATAGAAAGCTTAACATAAAGGTACACTGTGACATTACGTTCTGAAGTGACAGAAGATTACTTGTTATTTATCTAGGTTTACTATGTTTACTAGAGTTTAGGAAAATAAGCCTTAAAGCCCAGGGGAGTATCTGAATACAGCCTCTCTGTCCTTGACAGTAAGGTAACCCATGAATTTAATAACTCAAATTGGTGGACCAGCATGTAACCTAAGGGAAAGGTTTTCAGCAATGTAAAAACTAAAATTGCACACTGATTTAAGTATCCAGGATTAACATTTGAGTTTTGAAAGTCTTGAATCATGACTTAAGGACAGGATTTTAAAAAGCAGACTTCCTGAGATGACGTTTTAAAAAAATTTTGCATTTCTTTGTGTGGTGGTTCTGCTTTCCTTCTTTTTCATTGTCTTCTATCTCCTCTCTCTGTTAAGTCAGTTGGGTTGGGCATAAATGTAAGAATGAAGATTATCTAATTACCTGAAGAAAAAGTCGTGATTTCTTGTTTTTCCTGTCATTGAGTTTTGACGATTTGTTCATTGTTATGCTTTAAACTGTTATGCTTTTTCTGAACATTTTGTACTGTTAGGAACAGTAGTACGTCATGAGAATAGATTCTGTATTTTTATGTGTTAAAGGAAAATAGATGGGGAAGTTTAAAGAGCTTAAAGTAATAATTTTAGCAAGTATATGTGTTTCTTTCCCTTTAGGATCTGCTTTCACAGATGCATCACTATAGTCCTGGGGTTAAGCATAATGCACTTCTTGGGCTTAAAGATCTCCTGTCTCAGTATCCGTTTGTAATTGATGCACATCTTTCGAATATAATAAGCGAGGTGGCAGCTGTGTTTACAGACAAAGATTCTGGTGTCAGAGGAGCAGCTGTTCACCTGCTGCAATTCTTGGCTTCAAAAATAAGAGCGGAACAGATTGCTCCATTTTTTCCTTTGGTAAGTGCCCATCTCTCCAGTGCCATGACTCATATCAGTGAGGGAATTCAGGAAGATTCATTGAAAGTCTTGGACGTTTTGTTGGAAGCATATCCAGCTCTTCTCACAGACCGCAGCAGTATATTGTTGAAGAATTTTGTAGAGCTTATTTCTCACCAGCAACTGTCAAAAAGAATGAAAAGCAGAGAGAAACTTTCCTGGATGCTCTCTGTTAACCCAAATCGCAGAGTAACTTCTCAGCAGTGGAGGTTGAATGTACTTACCAGGCTCAAGAAATTTCTCCAAGCAGTGGTAGATGGATCCAGTGAAATAGAGGATGAAGGGCTTCAAGAACAAAAGGATAGCCCTCATTCTGTGAGGAACCCCGTATGTATAAGTTGGAAGGCCCATGCAAATAATCAGCAACACATACAACTGTTTCAAAATGGTGGCTTACGACCAAAGATCAACTCATCATTTAGACTGAGGTGAGAAAACATTAACTAGTTTGGGAATTAATGTCAACTCTGTGATCACAATGTTGAACTGTGGTTCATTGTTGAAGACAACAATTTAATTTTTATTGTGAGATTGTCCCTTAGCCATATTTTAGGGCATTTAGTGTAATGTGCAGTCTACTACAGTGGCTTGAAAATATGGAAATACTCAGCAGGTGACTCTGCTGTGCGTATAACGTGAAGTTTCCTGTTATCCAATAAGAGCTGTGTTTTATGCTATTCATAATAATTTTGGAAGACCAATTCAAGCATTTTTTTTGAATGCGAACCGACGACTACAGGTTGTTTCAGGACCTGAGGGCAGGCAGGTGAATTTCTTTACGTTAGACGCGATACGCTGTGATAATGAATTTTAATGAAATGTTGTGCTTTTTCCTTCAAGACTGTGTCATAAGTTCAGGAGTCTCTTTTATTTGAGTATAGCTCCTTTCAAAATGGACAGCATCGTAAGATGTGTCTGGCTGTGTGGAGTTCTGCTGAGATTCCAATTCGAGAAATTTTTAATCAATTTTTAATGAATTATTCCGAGTCCAGATATTTTTAATCAATTATTCCCATTCCAGATATTTTTAATCAATTCACTGGTTTATATATTCATTATGGATAAATGACATCTTGTGTGAGATATGTTGATGAAAATGGAGGAAAGCATGGTGTGCTTAGTCACAGAAAGGTTTGTGTGTTTTTTAGTAGTACCCTAAATAGATGTGAGCTGAAGTTAAGGGAGAAATAACTAACCATCTATATTTCTCTTCTTCCTTTCTGATTCACCCACTCCTCAAACTAGAGGGAAACTTCCCACTCCACTTTATGGTACCTTTTAAACATTGACATCCTCATGTATATGCATTACTATAGATGTTACATACCTGCTGGTAGGAGACCTGGAATGACAGTTTGAAAACCAGAAATTGTTTAGTCATTATACAGCACTTCTAATCCATGGGAAGTGGTTCAAAGAGAAAAAAAAATCCTTGTTTTATTGCTGGGGCAGACAGAATAAGGGATATAAAGCAGTTATACCAAATTCGTCTAGGAGGTCAGTGACAGAAAAAGGTATAAAACCCACTGCCAAGTTCATCTCCTACCTTTGAATGAATGAGGTGCAGAAGAGGAGATATTGGCCTGAATTAGCAGGTGTTTTCCATCTCTGTTGTGGAGACAGCCGAATGACCATTCCATTTCTGTTCTCCTAGACTTCCTCTTGGTAGATAGCATATTACTTGGGGTAGGTATAGGAAATCTGTATTAAGCTAAGTAAAATGTGCAGCTTATTCTCATAAGGGTAACAGGAGAGTTCAGTCATGACCAACGATACCTGCTGCAGGCAAAACTTTAGCTGGAAACTAGGCCAGTGAAGCTCACTTGAGGCAGGGGCAAGGGTTCAGTGCTGAACACAAAACAGTCCTATGGACTGCATCTCTCAGTCAGAAGCATACAGTTGTGGCCCATCGTATATCAGAGGATTCTCGTATTGTGCCCTGAATGATATGCACTGTGTGATATGCTATGCCCTGTAATAGCTGAAGATGCATTGTATCCAAGGTCTAGGAAAATAAACTTTACATCTCGTGTCACCTGAATTGGATTCCACTTTTCTGAGGAGCTAGATTTTGGTGAAACATCGTGATCTGCTTGTGGTTATAAATACTTTCAAAAAGGCATTCGCAAGCGTGAGGAGGAGCCAGAAGAATAGAAGGAAACATAGCTAGAATCCAAGGCGAGATTGGCAAAGCAAGCTGATGGCAGCAGAACAGAAGAATGGGAAGAGAAGGGCCATCTGCAGAAGGTACTGACATGTTCTCATTTTATTGCATTTGTGCATGTTTTTGATATATTCATTTTGCACAAAGGGCCACTACAGCTTCTTTTAGTGGATGTCCACAAGATGGATAGTTACTGTAGTGGCTGTTGTACTTGCCACTGAAATCTTTTCTAGTAATGTGAAGGTGTTTAATTCTGTCTCTTCCGGTCCCAGCTGTAGCCTTTTACAGGCATTCCCAGGCCTCTACTATGGCCATTACTGCAAGGACAGAAGTAACTTCTAGTAAGAGATGCAAAACATCTATTATGCTCCTTGAGTACTTGCAAAATGTCAAACAGCGTGTGTGGTTTTGCTTGAAGAAGTCAATGCACAGATAGTCAAGTCCTAACTATAATGAGTTGGCCAAACCGTACGTAACTAATTGCGGTGTGCATGTATTGATGGCCTTGTCAGTAATACTGCAAGTAAGTTTCAGCTTTGTTCTGTAAAAAGGCGGCTTCCAAACACCGCTAGTAGTATGCTGAATTTTTAAATTTCCTTTATTTCTTTAATCATGCAAGTTCATTGGGTGGGGATGGCACCTCATTGATAACCTAGTGATTGTGGAAGGGGATTTTCAGAATCAGTTTGCAGTATTAATGTTTAGTAAAAAGTATAGATTCTCAGCCTCGAGTGCAGAATGATTCAACAATGCAAATCTTAAGACTATTATTTTCTGTTGTGTGCTAGGTCTTCCTGCTGTGAGTGAATTAAAGATTACAGTGAATTAGGAAATTATTAGAATATATCCTCTGCCTTATGTGCTGATTGTGCTGCTTTTTGCATCAAACTCATTTCAGGTGTGGAAAAATAGAAAGGCTTCACAGCTTAAATATGGTGATACCAAGGTGTGTGATCTTTTTTTGGACTGGAAGTGGTGCTGAAGAGAAACGGTGGAGCTTCTGTTTCTGCTGAGAAAGGACAAAATGAAGCTGCAGAGAAAAGCAAAGAAGACTTGAGAGACCGAAATGGAAGACAAAGCATAGTGAATAAATGCTGCGGCCTGTGCATCAGATAGGAACAGGAAATGCAGTTCGCTTGGTGTACTGAGTGGTTCTTTGCTGCAGTTGGCAGTGCACGCAAAAAAGGAGGACAGTAACCTGGCTTAGACTGAGCCATAAAAGCTTACTAACTTCCGATGACTTTTCCTACTTTAAGCAGCAGAAAGTCGTTTCCTTATTTTCTGTTTCCTTTACACTTCCTTGACTTCCTTTTGCTGAATTTCCGTTGTCCTCTTACTGCCAAATGACAGATATGTTACGCAGTTTTCTTTTGTTTGGTCCTGCTTTATAAAAACATTGGCATTTTAAAGAAAAATTACAGCTTCAGGGGTACACAAATATGTTGCAGCTCCTCTCAATAGCATTTCGTACCGATATGAAGGTGATATGCTCTGTAGTGTTTGAGAGCTGCCTTACCATTAAAGAACAGTGGTAACAGACACGTAACAAAAAGAGTAATGCTTAATTGACATAAAAGCCTCCCAGTTCAAGTGAAGCTGCGATGCTAAGGATATTGCACTGATCAAATGCATAGTGGACAGATTACAGTAATACTTTGTCATCGTCTGTTACTGGCAATCAGATTTTATTTATCCCTTTTGTTGTTAACCCGGAGTATTTGGAGGAGCCTTATCTTGAGAGATGGGGGCTTCTTTTGCGAAAGTACATGAAAGCTATGCTAAGTATTCTTGCCCAAATGCTTTTGGCAGCTGGGTGGAGTATCTCTTTTGGCATGGGCTCTTCCTTCTTTTTCCATCCCTTGTTTCAGAAAAGTACTGACATAGTTGTGTGCGTGTGGTTTTGTACTTTTGTAGGAATCTTCAGGTGTGTGTTGTCAACTTCTCAGGTTTCATGCACTGCTCACTGTTTAATGGGGAGATTTTTTCTGTGTTCCAGAAATAGATTGCTTGAATTCCAGAGCTCTGCTGTAGTATCAGGTATTATTTTCAGAGAAAAGATTAAAGACTACTACTTCAGAACTATTTTAACCAATTACTGACATTTCAGAATCTCAGCTGAGCGTATAGTCCTGCCCTGACATACCATTTACAGGACAACCTAACTTTCTCAGTGAGGTTATGGTCTTGTTATCAACTGGTTTGTCCAGTGATGTTTGAGAATTCATTGTGGTTATAACTGGAAGATGAGATTGTCTACTGTGTCTTTAGAGGATTGAGAATTAAATGTCGAAGTTGGAACCATTCACCCTAAACTCTATAGTCTGAAAGAAACTGGCATAGAAGGGACATAAAGCAATGAAAAAGGGACAAATAAGCAAAATCACATTGATTGCATACATTGGTTGCTGCAGTTAATACTAAGCTTTATAAAAATTTAAGGTGTCTGATAGTTGCAGTGGGTACTAAAGATAAAACTAACTTTTTTTTCTTATGACCAGTTATATTTCCACTTGTCTTTTTTGTTTTGTGCTGGAGATCTAAATGCTCTCTCTCGTCTTCATCAAAAAAGAACCTGCATTTGTCTCACGCTTTCTTTTTATTCCTTTGCAGATGTCTTCTCCCTGGTTCTTTTACAGTTTGTTAATACTTGGATTTTTTTTTGGCTTAGTAATTTTCTTGAGATACCAATTTCAACCAGAGAGAAGTGACAAAATAAAATTTTCTATTATGTGCATGTTATAGATGATTGCAACAGCATGAGAAATGCAGCTTCATAGAAGGATATAACTAATTGCATGATTTGGAAATGAGCAGGATCACCAGGAAAAACTGCTTTACCTCTTTAATCCGATATGGAATTAAAATGTTTGTGAACAGAACTTTTCAGCCTATCTGTGGAAAGAAAGCAAATAGTTTTTCAGACCCTGTTTTGGATGTATATGTAAAGAAAAATCACTTGGAGAACATGACCAAAATAGGAAATTTAACAGGAGGTTCAGCATACCAATTTTATGTATGTTATAAAGTTAGAATTATGATGGGAATTCCCTACTGCGAGTTAGAAAACAAAATTGTCATGGATAACAATGTCAGAACCTTCTTTTTAAAATGGATACAAATTGCCTGAATTTACCTAGGAGTCTATTTGGTCATTTGTGCTGATAATCCCTTTTGAAACACGAAGTGTGTTATGAGGGGGAGGGGGGGAGGAAGTTCTTGATTTTCTTGCTTTCTGGGAGATGTTATTTTAATTTAAACTATAGCTCTTCATTTTTTGATAATTTTTGTTTAACTTGATTATCAGATCATTTTACTAATTTTCCAGCTAGTTGTTCTCCAGAGCTTTATAGTTAAACATCAAGTGAGAACCAAAGTTATTTTTTCCAGATTTTTTTTTTCCCTATTAATATGACATTATGTTTATTATAGCTGGAGATGGTTATTAACTGTAATAAACCTCATGCATTTGACAATACTTTGTAGTCAGTTTCATTATTTTGCTTCAAGGAGCTTAAAGCTTTTTTATTTTGTTGTGCTGAGTACAGTGAATTCTTTTCTGTTGATTGAAGGTGATACCATAATGCAAATCATATTTCTTCACTTTATAGACTTCACATATAGCAATGGGGAAAGAAACTCTGAAATCTGAGGAGTTGTTACAGAAGCACACAAACTTGCAGGGAGACTTGGGAGCAGGTTTGTTGTAGATGGTGTGAACGCCCTTTTTTTCTGTACTGAAGTATCTAGCAAGAAAGCAAGCAAACATTTTTAATGTATTAAAGTAATTTTTCCTGGTATTCAGAAAGCAGGGAAGTGGTATTGCTCTGATCTGTTTTTAAAGGTGTGATCTTTATCTTTTTTCTTTTTTTCTTTTTATTTTATTTTGCTTTGTCGTTTAGGTCTCTCGCAAGCGTAATGGACAGTGCAGAAAAAGGCCTGTCCTCAGCTGAAAACTTAAAAGGTTTTATTGAGATAATAATTCCATTACTGATTGAGTGCTGGATTGAAGCATCTCCTGCACAATCAGCTCCCATTCTTGGAAACCTTTTGGAGTCAGAATCTCAGCAGCTTATGCAGCAAGTGCTTAGTATAATACATTTATTGTGGAAACTCACAAAGCGACATGATGAAACGTGCAAAATGGTAAGGGAGAAACGATCTGTGGGATAATAATGGCAGTTCATTTTCTTTTGATTGGAAACTAGTGATTTGGTGATTGGAAATAGTGGAAATGTTAAGAGGAAAAACCTTAGGTGTGAGTAGAGTTTGAGTTTTATCAAGTCTCTTACTCTAGAAAAGAATCTCTTGAACTGAGCAATGAGTTCACCAAAAGTCTCCAGGAATCCTTCTTGACTGCAGCACAAAAGCTTTTGAAACTTAAAGTGGTATTGGAGAAGAGGAGCACTTTGTCTCCCATATAATCTCTAGAATATAAATTTGAATAAAGCGTAGCATGGAGTTGTTTGTTCCTTGGTTTTATGTCTTGAAAAATTTTATGGGGGGTGGGGTGGGGGTGGAAGTTAAACCCTAAACCCTTGGAAAGGTAGGGGATAAGTGGTATGAGATCCTGTAATTGCTTGATGCAACCTATGGTATTGTGTCATAATTGGTAGTAGCAAAAGACATCAAATCAAAACCTCAATAAGAATTTTGGAATTTTTTTGTCTGTCTTTTAGTTTGATACATGAATTGCTATTTTTTAACTTTTGCTGCTTTTCCAAAGATTTTTGCAAACTGGAAAAAGAACACCTTTTCCATTTTGGCTATTGAGAGTAGTTGGCGGGAATGTCTTGACAGCTCTTTGTTTTACCTGTGTGTATAGGACTGTAGGTCTATTTGCTGAAGAAAGATCTACACATAGAATAATTATTGGAAAACATTTGTGGAATCATTCGATTAGACTAGAGTTACCAGATGTACACAGCCTGAGGGATGGATTCAGTGTGTCTGAACAAGACACACTTTTCCCCTTTTTCCTTTTTGTGTTTTCTAGAGGACCTCTTGGAAGCAGGCAGTAAGCAGGCAGTTGGCCAGGTAAATACCTGTGGCAGCCTACTGCCCCTAGCCTTTTTCTTTAGGGTACTGAGGAGCTGCTGCCCTTAGCCACAGGGTGCCTTCATTTTGGTCACATGAAAGGAGTGCTCCTGTGGCAAGATGAGAGCTGGTTTAGGTACATGCAGTTGCGTTATGGCCTTAGGATGTTTTGGAAAAATCTGGTGTCCGTACAACCTGTTTTTTTTTTCCAGTATATTGTGTTTTAGATAAGATAAACAGTTTATTTTGTCTTTTCCTTTATAGTCACCTTTATATATAAAGTTCATTCAAATGGCTCGGTTTGAAAATGGAAACTTTGCTTACTTAATATAGCCCTTGGGCTTACAGGCCAAAGTGGTTATTACAGACACTTTGGAAAACTTGTCTGAATATGCTTAGTAAAAAACTATTAATATTTGAAGTAGTTTAATGGTCGTTCTCTTTTCTTAATACTTGAGTATCAAAAGATTATTCTGTTTGACCAATTTAATAGCAATGTGGGCTTTTTTTGTGGTGAGTTCTGCTGGATACTTTGTGGAATGGTGACTGAGTGTCTGCTAACCCACAAAGTAAAATTATTTTTAAATATTGAAAAAAATCCTTTTTCTGTAAGGATGGCCTTTCTACTGGAAAACATTTTGTCAGTGGGCTTTGAACTACAAGTACAGTAATGATGGGGAAAGGTGAAGGCAGTGTCAGAATACATCTTCATGGAAAACTCAGGACAGTCACTGCAAGTAAATGAGAGTTCGTTCTGATTTGAAGTACCCTGATAAATTGATAGAAAAGCACTTTCATGTCTGTAACTCACTCAGTTTAATATTGCATATATATACATTAATATGTGCTAAGAAAATATACTGGTCTGGTTTGGATTAAATGTTGTTGCTCAGATTTGGCTTTTACCACAATTTTACTCCCTTGTTTTGTGGACCTTCAGGTTCATGCACAGGGCTTCACATTTACATCTGAAAGCAAATATATATGAAAACTTACAAACAAGCTAAATTCCTGTTTTTCATCGATTTCAGTACTGGATTTTGGAAGATGATTGCATTGATATATTTGACTTACTACCATGTTTTCTAACATCTACTTTCCTTAACAGGAGCTATGGCTTCGAATGAATTACCTTGTTGATTTCAAGCATCACTTCATGCGTCATTTTCCTTATTCTTTACAAGAAACAGTAAAGCACAAAAAGAAAGATTCATACAAAGGGTGAGAATAAAATCAGTGTCATGTTACAGCTTTTAATTTCATAAGATAAGTGAGACAATGTGAGTCATATGCTTTATCCAATATTAAGTTTTTAATGTTGGAAAAGAAAACTTCTTATTGTGTATTCCTTGAAGATCTGTAGAGAAGTTTTTATGGGATGGTACCATTGCTTTGAATTGAGAAGTTTTGTTTATTCTTTGTAGAAGTATTGTATAGGAAGTCTTCTGAATAGCCTCCAGTAGAAATTAAAATGCTGTCTTAGAGAAATGAAAGTATTTTATTGAATGCTTGATCTGGAATTTGCATATTGCTAAATGGTGATTTGTGTTAGTCTGACTAGTTTCATATTTCTGCATGTGGATGCCCCATCCCTAGAAGTGTTCAAGGCCAGGAGGGATGAGGCTTTGAGCAGTCTTATCTAGTGAAAGATGTCCTTGCCCATGGCAGGGGGGTTGGAACTAGATGATTAAGGTCCTTTCCAACCCAAACCATTCTATGATTCTATAATTACATCAAAACATAGTGAAAAGATTCTTTTTTCACCTGCATGTACCCTTCTATAGTTGTATCACAGGGTTGGATAAACACAGCTAGGAGGAGAGATGGGACACTTAGTGCCTATCCTGTGCAGCAAAGCAGTACTGGAGCAGGAAAAGCCAAATACACCTTTCTTTCCTCACTATTGAGCTGGCAGAGTGGGTGCACCTGCTTTGTTCTGATACAGGCCAGTAGCAGGTTGACTCCCCTCTCATCTCCCAGATATGAGACTATGTTCCTGTAGTCTGTTCTGGAGTCGTTCTGCGCGGTTGCGGTCCATGTAGAACACTGACTGGTGTATGTACAAGGGACATCAGCTGGTGTCTGTCTTGGTTCCAAATACTTGGCAAACTGTGCCACTGTGGATTGAGCTGTAGTAGCTGAACTGCCTCTTTTTATACTAAAGATCTGCCACAGTGCAAGTGTACTTGAGGCTAAAATACTGTTTGATATTTTGACTGTTGCATTTTCTCTTCCTGGGAGGGCATATAGATCAGAAGTACAGCATAGCTTTTCAATAAATGCTTTCATTTCAGCCAAACCTTGCTCATTAAGTTCATGACACCAGAAGTCGTTTTGCTTTTCCAGGTTTTGACCTGAATGCCTTTCCTTGAAACTGAAAAATCTCAGAATTAGTAGTTAGGCAATGTAACCATCTTTCTTGTCTTACAGATGACATCCTGACTAATCATCCTTCTATTGATTTTTCTTTACTCTGCTACTAAGTTTTGCCCCATTCTTGCAGTTTAAAGTAAATATATTTTTGGATACATGCTGGAAGAATAATCTGTGAAACTCTTTTTTTGAGTTTTTATTTTGGCTTCAAGACTTCTGGAAACGTAGCTTCATGCCATGAGAATAAAAATAGTTGTTTTTGTTTTCCTTGCTTACCAGTATATTGGGTTAAAGACCTGCCTTTGGAAACCTTACATGACATTTTGGGGCTTCCTTCCTTCTCAAGCTTGCAAAATGTTGCAGAAACTTGCAACAGGATTACTGGCATCACTTAATATCTACATATTCTGAACACAAAAAAGATTTTAGCAATTATGCCATGTGTAAGCGATGTCCACAGGCTGAGATTTATTTCCTTAAATTGTAATGGTTGGCTCTGAACTGAAGGGTGACTACAGTTACAGTAGTGCAGGTTAAAGTGCTTTTTGTTATTTCATTTCCACAGCTCTACTTTGTTCTGAATGTAAGCATTCATGTTGTGTAGTGTTCAGTAGATAAATGCTGTGATTTTATTTTTTTCTTTTATACTGAGTGACAAATTGTCAAGTAGAGGAGTTCTAGCATTGTATGTCAAGCTGCAAAACCCTTGACTCCTTTGTTAATATCCCTTAATTTTGTCTTTAAAACCTCTGTTGGGCAACAGAGTCGTCCTGCAGAATATTGTGATGGTGAAAAATGTGTTTCTGATTCCACATGAGTTTGGAGAAAAGTACATAGTTGGATTTCTCTATGCTGTTTATGGTGCTTTTTGTCATTGTGTAATAATGACAAAATCCATGTGATTCCTCACAGAAGAAGAAATACAGAAGAGACTGAAATTAAGAATTTTTTTAGCCTTCCTTTGCTGGTTTCAGTCACCTAAAAGTGCTGCCAGGCCACAGTAAAAAGGCCAAACAGGAAAAACCAGACATAGATGTACAATTTAGAGCTTTGGTTATTGCTGCTGCTATAAATATGAGAAACAGACGTTTTGGTGGCAGAACAAAAAATTTCAAGTACCCAAATGTCAAATATGACGACTTTAAAATGCGTATTGACTTTAAAACTTCAACACTTAGATTTTTTTCTTCTACATAGTATAACTTCTACCAAAGTTAATGTATATTAAAAGGCACAAAATCTTCTTTTGAAATCTCGTATTTTCCTTCTCTCCCCCTTAGCAACAAGTATTGTATGACATCCTCTAACAGCGTAGACCATCTTTTACTGAACTTAACCTTGTGTGACATAATGGTTTCACTAGCAAGTACTTCAACACTTCAGATGGATTCTGGTTGGCTGGACATGATAAGGAAATTTGTGACAGATACTCTTCAGGATGGCAGCAAGCTGAATAGCAAGCAGGTGAACAGATTGCTTGGTGTGACTTGGAGACTAATGCAAATACAGCAAAACAAAGGTAATATATGAGCAGTTTCTGGAAAGCAAAATTATGACACAAAGAGCTTGAGTTATTCTAGCGTTTTCAGGTCACTTCATCTTATATCCTCAGTTGTTACATCATAATGTATTTGGTCTCTAGAGTTAAACTGAATTTCATGGTCGTATCTCTGTGTGTAGCATTGAAAACTGCTTGATTTTTAGGAATGCTGTTAGGTTCATACTGTTGATATGCAAAGAATTAATATATTTGTGTACATATTTTCTGTTTTTAATTCTTAACATATTCTTATAAATGGGAAGATGAGTTTTCTTCATTAAAAGAAAACAATTACTAGGCTGTAGAGAGGCATGATGCTTTAATATGCTAATCCTTATTTAAAATAGTTAACGTGGCTGATAAACTTCCTTGAGTACTGTCAGATGACCATTCTAGTTCTGTCACGACATGAAATGCCAAGATTGTTCTGGCGGAAGCTGTAGAATATTTTCCAAGGTGTTTAATTTGTATCCTTTTCCAAGGGAAAGCATATTTCCAGTTGTGACTTGCAGGAACAGTATAGTATTTTGGCTTGGCTATTTTTTTGCTTTTCAAGTGCTACTTGTTTGTGTTCCAGATGAGACCTTGACTGACATGTCTGTTAAGTGCTCGATGTAGGACGACTTTAAGAAAGGAATTTTTCAGTAAATCTAAAGGTGGCAGGTTTTTATTGTGTCTTACCAGTCTGGTAGAAGTGAATTCCACAGACACGCAGCCAAGTAGAGTTTATAGAAAATGCTTTGCCCTTAGCAGCAGGTTTCAGTTTCAGTGTTGTAAGATGAAAAGTTGTGAAATGTCTCTCAAATATATTTTGGCAGTGTCGTGGTTTAGCCTGGCTGGCAACTAAATGCCACACAGCCGCTTGCTCACCTTACTCCACCCCCAGAGAATGGGCAGGAGAATTAAAGGAGAAGAGGGAAGGAGACTTGTGGGTTGGGATAAGAACAATTTAATAATAGTAATATATGAAAAAAAAAAAGTATAATGATAATATATACAACCAAATGATGCACAATGTAATTGCTCACCACCTGGTGACCAATGCCGGTCACATCCTGGCAAACAATCCTGAAATGGATAGTCCCAACACCATGATCCAGGACGAGTGAGAGCCCCAAAAAGAGAATGAGAGAGAGAGAGCGAGCACTCTGAGAGTCCAAGAGTGAGCTCTCAGAAGAGAGTCCCAGAAGAATAAAAGCCCTTCTTTCTGGTCAACCCTCATTTTTATACTGGACATGACGCTGCATGATATGAAATGCTCCATTGGCTAATTTGGCCTTCAATCCTAAGTCTAAGTTCAGATCATAAGGGGAGTTGTGGACCCTTTGTCCTGGCCATGTTCCCCCCCCAGCCTGTTGTGCTCCTGCATGCTGGTGAAAGCATGACAAACTGAAAAGTCCTTGATGTCTCCATGTCAACTATAAACATCAGTGTGCTATCAGCATTCTTCTCATAGTAAATCCCAGACTAAAACCAAAACACAGAGCTCTTCTAGCTGTTAAAAAGAAAAACTAACTCTGTCCCAGTCAAAACCAGGACAGGCAGTTAGTTGTTTCTCCTTCCAAATCCATTTTAATTTGGAATCCACCTATTCCTATGTCCCTGATGACAATGAAAGTAACTAATCATTCCTATCTGCACTCCAAAGTTAGCTTCCTGTTGAAGGCAAATAATAGTCCATGTGCCTGTCTCGCTAGCTGAGCTAAAGCAGAAGAGTTGCTACTCAGGAAAGTAGTTTCCAAATTGTTGTTAATCTGTTAAATCAGATACTTCATGTTTTTTCTTGTAATGAAACATTGATTTTTCCTCTGTCTACCAAACCTTTACCAGATAGTGGATAATGGCTGGTGTTTTTCTAAACAAAGTGGCCATTGTAGTGCGATAACTTTGCTCAGGAATGTGGAAAATACGTAAGCTTTAAAAAAGTTTAAATGAAATTGCAAAACATTAATATGTATGGATCTTGTCTGCTGATCCTGTAAAGGTTCAGAAATTTCACCACAAGTAGGAAATAGATACAGATTCTTGAGGTAAACAGTTTGTGTGGACAATTTCTCATCCCTTCAAGATAATCCTTGTGTAGTACTAAAAGCATGACTAGGTGTCAGATTATAATTCATTTACTAGCTGTAGAGGAATTACAGCCTTGACATGCTGGAGAAAAGGGCTGACAGTTTAACAAGGAGAAGTGCGAAGTCCTGCACCCGAGGAGGAACAAGCCCAGACACCTGTATGTGCTGGGGGCTGACCAGCTGGAAAGCAGCTTGACAGGAAAAGACCAAGGGGTCTTGGTGGACACCAAGTTGAACATGAGCCAGCAATGGGCCCTTGTGGCAAAGGCCATTGGTGTCCTGGGCTGCATTAGGAGGAGTGTTGCCAGAAGGTTGAGGGAGGTGATCCTTCCCTGCTATTCTGCACTGGTGAGGCTGTGCCTGGAGTACTGTGTGTGGTTTTGGGCTCCCCAATGCAAGAGAGACATGAACATAATAGAGCAAGTCCAGCAAAGGGCCATGAAGATGATGAAGGCACTGGAGCATCTCTCCTATGAGGAAAGGCTGAGAGAGCTGGAACCCTTCAGCCTGGAGAAGGGAAGGCTCAAAGGTCATCTTATCAATGTAGGTAAATACCTGAAGGAAGTCTGCAGAGAAGAGGGAGCCAGTCCCTTCATTGTTTACTAGTGGCAGAACCAGAGGCAATGGACATAAGCTGAAACACAGGAGTTGCTATCTGAACATCAGGAACACCTTTTTCACTGTGAAGGTGACCAAGCACTGGCACAGGTTGCCCAAAGAGGTTGTGGAGTCTTCATCCTTGGAGAAGTTCAGAAGCCATCTGGACATGGTCCTGCCCAGCCAGATCTAACTGATACTGCTTCAGCATGTGGGTTGGACCAGATGACCTCCAGAGGTCCGTTCCCACCTCAACCGTAATGTGATGCTGTGGAAGAAGAAAAGCTTCCTTCCTTGAGGTTTTTTTTTTGATGGTGATCTGAAAATTCTAAACTGTACTGTGTCAGATGATACTGCAAAAGATGGTACAATACCAAAAATATAACTCTTGATTTGTTTAAAACCTATCTGACATTGAGATGAAGGACCTGGAAAGGTGTGTCTTCTTTAGAAGACAATGCAAAAGAAAAATGAACCATTACAGTCAACGTTTTTTTAGAACACAGTGGAAATCAAAAGAGGTGAAATTCAGATAGGAAAACCAAAGAGCTAATGAATGAGCGATAACATAAAACCATAGCCGGCCTCCTGCGCGTTATGCCCCAGAAGCAGCGGTCTCTTTGCAGTCGTGTTTTTCAGGGTTGCCTGTTTTGAGCAGCTGCTTATGCTGGGGGTGACATGCACACACCCACCTTTTTCTGTGGATGTCTGGAAGAGCTTCAAGCTGTGATGTCTAAAGATTTCTCTCCATTGTTTAAAATCAAGCTCTGGATCTACTCTCTGTAATTAGGAGGTCTGCTCCTTTCTTGCATCTCTTAGGTATAACTTTAGCGCTAGCTTGCCTGCTAGTTGTATTTTTGATAAATTTACTTTGAATAATGAAGAGAGCACACTCAGTTCACTTCAGAAGGGGGCTTGCTATGTGCCAATTAAAAGTGAAATGTGTTAAAAATCATGAGGATTTTGGCTGCATTTTGGAAGTCTGTAGAATGTGGACATTTCAAGTACTACGTTTTAAGAATACATTTAAAATTCTTTGGTTTTAAACTTTTCCTGTTGATATGAAGCAATTCAAATAGTAGGACATGCTTTACTAAATGTGCCATAAAGATTTATTGGAAGGAAGCTGAACATTCTACACACTTAGAATATTTATTTCTTATTATGTTTGTTCATTTATGTCGTGGTTTTAGGCCGATCTGGCAACTAAACTCCATGCAGCCGGTCTCTCACTCCAGTAGAGTGGAGAGTAGAAAAATATAATAAAAGGACTGAGGGTCAAGACAAGAACAGAGGGAGCACCCACCTACCATGGTCCCGGGCAAAAGCGACTTGGCTTTCTGAAAGCAAAACAATTTATTAACAGTTACTTAAAAGGACAAAGGGAAACAAAACCGGTTACTTGAGAGGATAAAAAGAAACAAAGCCAGATCTTAAAACCGACACCTTCCTTCCCCCCCTCCTTTCCTTTTTCCTTCCTCCTCCCCCCAGCGGTGCAGGGGGGCAGGGACTGGGGGAGTGCAGGTCAGTTCATCCCATGTTGTTACTGCCGCTTCTCTCTTAAAGGAGGAGGAGTCCTTACACCCTTTTCCCTTGCTCCAGTGGATCCCCCACTCACGAGGAAATCCCCAAACTCCTCCAGCGTGAGTCCTACCCGCAGGATGCGATTCTTCCCCATTGGATTGCTCCAGTGTGGGCTTTACCACAGTCTCGGATACTTAGGGAGTTGTTGCCACTTGCTCCGGCGTGGGTCGTCACGCAGACTCCAGATGCCTCTCTGCCTTGTCGTGCGTCCCAACACCACCGTCCTCAGGCTCAG